AAAAAAAAAAAAAAGGACTGAAGGCTTCTAGGTTAGTTACAGGGTCATAGCCCTTTGACAGTGAGTTCGAGGGCCTCACAAGGGACTGTCATTACAGACACAAGAAGAATCAAGAAGCGGTGCAGCAGCTTTTGGGCCGTCTTCGGGACAACCGAGGGCAGCAGCATTTCCTACAGGACTGTCACGAGGTGAGGCTCTGTTCCCCCATGTCCCCTCCCACATTCCCCAGCCATCCCTTTGCTAATGTTCCCCAGCTTTCTGAGCCTAGAATAAGACCGTTGCAGTATCACCTGAGTAAGCGGACCCCTGCCTGGCTTCCCCCCACATCCACCACTTCTCCCAGCTCACCTCACCCCCTTATGCCTCACCGCATCTGAAATGTACTCTGCCCTTCTCCACCCCTGCTCTGTGCTTGGTCCAGCTAAAGCTCTGGATTGACGAGAAGATGCTGACAGCCCAGGACGTGTCCTATGATGAGGCCCGCAACCTGCACACCAAGTGGCAGAAGCACCAGGCGTTCATGGCCGAGCTGGCCGCCAACAAAGACTGGTTGGACAAAGTAGATAAGGTGAGTGGTGTGACAGCAGCAGCAAGAAGAGAGCCCTGGGTCCTCCTCCGGACACGATCCTGGCCACAGTGCAGGGGAGGATCCTGGCTTCAGGCTATGGTTCTTTCAGGGTTAGAGGTCATGGGGTCTCTGGTGCCAAACCTCCAAGACGGAAACTTAGGGTCTGGGGAACAAAAGTCTTAGGTCTCTGAGACAGTGACTCCAGAACTTTGGGAAAGCACAAATGAGTAGGGAGCCAAACTGCAGCTTTGAGTCAGCATGGTAACTATGCCTGGGTCCAGAGCAGAATGACACTCTTCAGCAGGGGTCAGCAAACTTCTGCCATGGGCCAGATGGTAAATATTTTCGCTTTGCGGGCCACACAGTTTCTGCTGTGACTACTCAACTCTCCGCAAAAGCAGCCATAGGGAATATATAATGATTGAGTATAGCTGTGTTCCAGTAAAACTTTATCTATAAAAACAGGTGGGGGCCGCATTTGGCCCACAGAGCACAATTTGCCAAGCCTTGCTTTCGAGCCTTACTGTTCCTGGTACTTGGTCTCTAAACCCACCACTTCTTTTAGAGCTGAGCATAGGTAAAACTTTATTTCAACTCAGCAAGTGTTCCCGGGCGACATTATGTGTGCTCAGCACCCTGCAAGATACGTAAAAAGACACTTTCCTTCCCTCAAGGTCATGATGGTTGGGGAGAGGAGGAGACCAGTGTATGTCTAGTGTTTCCATTTGTTCAGCAAATATTTCCTAGGTGCTGCTATACGCAAAGCATTGTATTGGGCACCAAGAGGGGGAATGAAGGCAATTCTACTGTGGGCTCCACCCTTGAGGAATGACAGTACAGCCAGGATGTGAGACAGATCCACAAACACCTAAGTTAAATCCAAAGCAGAATATGACAACTGCAGTGAGAGAGGGCCTGATAAAGCCTGGGCCCTCTGGGTGTGCCCGTAAAGCTCTGTGCCAATAAAACTTTGTTTACAAGGAGAGAGGAGGTAGAGGAATCCTAGAGGCAGGAGCCTCCAGGGCAGTCCCTGAAGGATGAGTAGAATTTGGACAAGCAGAGATATTGGAGGAAAGATGTTTCTAGGTAGAGAAAACAGTGCAAACAGGAAACCTGAGGTGTGGAAGTGGGGTGCCGGTATGGGAACAAGGGGGTAAGTCAGTCTGGCAGGAACACATAATGTGGGAAGGGGCCCCATGGAAAAAAAGGTGGGAAAAGCCTGGTCGGCCAGGTCATGAAAAGCCTTGATCACACGTAAGGACTGTGCGTCAACGTGTGGATCGTGCAGAAGGTTCATGAAGTTACCCAGGCAGTGCTAGACTCTAACTGTTCATCCTGACAGCCATGCATAAAGTGGCCTCAAGGCAGTGCCTTGGTTTGTGTTCTAGAAGCAGACCCTGAAACAAGGCTTCCAGTACAGGCCGCGTATGTGGGAGATGAGCACAGAAAACACTAGTAGGGGAGTGGGAAGCTGGGATGGAGAAGGCAAGGCGTTCGATAATGGGTCCAAGGACATACCAGTCACCCCAGGAGGCAACCGGCACTCAGTCCAAATGAGGCACCTTGGGAGACTGTAGAACACGCAGCCACTTTCTCCCAACCAACGCACACGAACGCCGAGTACTTGTCCACCAGCTCCCCGTCTGTCACTGGCTGAGGGCTGCTTCCTAGGGCACTAACTCTCGGGCACTTCCTGTCTGCCTTGCATACAGGTCAAGAGACCATGCTTCCCTCACCTCCCCAGCAACCAAAGTCCTCAAGCAGAAAAGCTGGGAGGGGGGAGAGCGGTGGGACTCGCATGTACATAACCCAGGTGAGGGGTGACTCACTGAGAAACAGGAGGGGATGGCAAATACACAAGACCATGTGTGCCTAACCCCAGAAGCCATAAGCACAAGGGAGCCCGACACAGTGAAGGTCTCCGTGGCTTCTTCATTGAGATGAGGTTTTGAGCTGGGCCTTGAACAAGTAGGGGGTAATCAGCTGGCGGGTGGTTGGAGGCGAAGCGGTTTAGAAGGGGTTTGAAACCTTTGAGATGAGTGTGTTGTGGAGAATACCCAAGAACTTGGAATTATTGCCTACACCTCAGGTTCCTACTGCCCTTTAGCTCCCTGGTCTGCTACTGACCCGTAAAGTTCAGTGATATCTAATTCTGACGCTGACCCCTTCTGTGTCCCATCCCTCAGGAAGGGTGGGAACTGACCCTCGAGAAGCCAGAGCTGAAAGCTTTGGTGTCCGAGAAGCTGGAGGACCTGCACAAGCGCTGGGACAGGCTGGAGAGCACCACCCAGGCCAAGGCCCGCAGCCTCTTCGATGCCAACCGAGCCGAGCTGTTTGCCCAGAGCTGCTCTGCCCTGGAGAGCTGGCTGGAGAGCCTGCAGGCCCAGCTGCACTCTGACGACTATGGCAAGGACCTCACCAGCGTCAACATTCTGCTCAAGAAGCAACAGGTGCTCTGCAGGCCTGTGATGGGGATGGTGAACGGCAGCAGAAAGGAGGAGGGAGTCTGTAGCTCTTGAGATTTGGGAGGTCATTCTAAGGCCTCACAGACAACATCTTTCCCGGCAGTTCTCAAAGCGAGGTCCGTGGACCACCGTATCAGAATCTCTAGGAGTGTGTATCAGTCAGAGTAAAAGTCGGGAGACAGAACCCATGTTCCATCTTAAACAAGGAAACTTTAATAAAAAGAAGTATCAATTAGTAAAAGGTGTTCACCAAAAAGGGTAAAGAGAAATCAAAACCAGGGATCAGAAAACATTTTTCTATAAAGGGCCAGACAGTAACAGTTTGGCCTCTGTAGGTCATACAGTCTCTGTCACAAGAACTCTGTTCTTGTAGGGCAAAAGCCGCCATAGGCAATATGTAAAATTATATGTGTAATGGATGTGGCTATGTGCCAATAAAACTTTATTTACAAAAACAGGTAAGGGGCTGGGTTTGCTGGTCCCTGCTGTAAAGAGTACAGGAATAGCAGATGTAGGGAGCAGCTACTCTCTCTGGGGCTGAGGAGGGGTACCCAAGGAGGAACAAGATGCTCTCCCCCCACCCCACCCCCCAAGGCTGAGTTTCAGACCTCCGTGGAGAGGGCCGAGGCCCGCTGGATGTTGTAGAACTTTGCTGGGGTTATCAGGGGACCAAGCAGGTCTAGAGCTGGCGGGCCAAGACTGGCCAGTAGGAAGTTGCCTCTGGGATGCCAGTAAAACTTGCTGGAGGGCGAGAACCACTGGATTCCCTGCACGCCATGGGCAGTTTTGCCTCAGGAGCAAGAAGAAAGGCACACTGGAACCAGAAATAGCACCTTCCCTTCCTGTGCCTTGGGGTGACCCTCTAGCGCCCCCTACTCACAAGGCCTAGCATTGCACCAGCTGGCAATGAGAAATGTGGACCCGGGTCAGCGGCCCAAACGTGGTAAGATGTACCTGGAACCGAGGAGAATTTGGGCCTGAGAGGCAGTAAACTGATAACTGGCCCAGTTATCACACAGCCCCGGACTCGTAGGGATATTAAAGTTTGAGATCCACTGAGCTAGGCCACGAGGAGATGCTCTCCGTAGGGTGAGCTCCGGGGATAAGACATCTCCATTGGCTACACCAGCGTTACGTGTGCTGATCCCCCCCGCCCGGGTTGCAGATGCTGGAACGGGAGATGGCTGTGCGAGAGAAGGAGGTGGAGGCCATCCAGGCCCAGGCGACAGCGCTGGCCCAGGAGGACCAAGGTGCGGGGGAGGTGGAGCGGACCTCGAGGGCCGTGGAGGAGAAGTTCCGGGCCCTGTCCCGGCCCATGGCGGAGCGCTGCCGGCGCCTGCAAGCCTCTCGAGAGCAGCACCAGTTCCACCGGGACGTGGAGGATGAGATCGTGAGTTCCTAGGGTCTGCGATGGGGTGGTGTCACTGGGGCAAGTTGCTCCCTGCCATTCGCTTTCTAGTCTCCTTCCTGGATGCTGGGGAGATGCCAGCGGGGCTGTTGTCTCTTCCCTCTGGCACTGAACACGGGACGCCTTGGGGATGCCCTCGAGGTCCCTTTACCTCAGACTCAGATGACTGTTTCCAGCACACACACACCAGGAGCCCTAGAAAACCTCCCCCCAGGCCTCCCCACCGTCCAACTCCTACTCCTGCTTTGCCCCCTGGGCCTCCGTGGACGCCCTCTTTCTCATGCAGCTGTGGGTGACAGAGCGGCTGCCCGTGGCTAGCTCCATGGAGCACGGCAAGGACCTGCCCAGTGTCCAGCTTCTCATGAAGAAAAACCAGGTGAGGCCGAGGCTAAAGGCAAAAGAAAAGGTCCCAAGAGCCTCCCAGACTCGGAAGTTTGTCTTTTCTTAAAAAACCTTGGGGGTTCTCTGGCTCCGCTCGAGGCTGCGTGCAATCCTACGCTTCAGTGGTGGGCCTTCCCTCGCCGCAGGGGGATGGGCTCCCTCCGTGGCAGATCAGGCAGATCGAAGGGGCGCTGCCATCCCAACCTTAGGCCAGAGTTGGGGGCAAGTGAGGAGGACACAGGGAGAGAGAGGACTGGGAGTGAGGGGCCGGATGGATGTGGAGCAGGTGCAGGGGACGGGAGGCTGAGGGGGGTCCCCTGTCAGAGTGTCCTCTTCCGCCGCTGTGGACAGACCCTGCAGAAGGAGATACAGGGCCATGAGCCGCGGATCGCGGACCTCACGGAGCGGCAGCGTGCTCTGGGCGCGGCGGCGGCAGGCCCCGAGCTGGCTGAGTTGCAGGAAATGTGGAAACGCCTGAGCTGCGAGCTGGAGCTTCGAGGAAAGCGACTGGAGGAGGCCCTGCGGGCCCAGCAGTTCTACCGCGATGCCGCCGAGGCGGAGGCCTGGATGGGTGAGCAGGAGCTACACATGATGGGCCAGGAGAAAGCCAAGGTGAGAGGCAGGGCAGAGCTCAGGCTGCGGGGGCTGCCGCTCTCTCCCCGCAGACCCTCCTCCCTGATGCCCACTGTCGTCCCCAGGACGAGCTCAGCGCCCAGGCGGAGGTGAAGAAGCATCAGGGGCTGGAGCAAGCCCTGGCCGACTACGCTCAGACCATCCACCAGCTGGCAGCCAGCAGCCAAGACATGATTGACCACAACCACCCAGAGAGGTGAGCACAGCGGCCAACGAAGGGGAGAACAGCCCCTGGGGGGACGGGAGCTGATTCCGGGGTGGTGCGGGGATTGCGGAGCCTTCGGTACTACATGTGTACAGAACTGTCTAGAGAGCTGGACAGGCAGGGACCTGGCAGGTAGTTGGGGGGCCAGAGCGGACAGGACTCTATGGAACAGGCTACGGATCAGAGCCCGGCATCCTGAGTCCCGCGGTGCCTGCCCCGCCCCCGCAGCACGCGGCTATCGATCCGCCAAGCCCAGGTGGACAAGCTGTATGCCGGCCTCAAGGAGCTGGCCGGAGAGCGGCGGGAGCGCCTGCAGGAGCACCTGCGCCTTTGCCAGCTCCGCCGCGAGCTGGACGACCTGGAGCAGTGGATCCAGGAGCGCGAGGTGGTGGCAGCCTCCCACGAGCTGGGCCAGGACTATGAGCACGTGACTGTGAGTGTGGGGTGGACACCAGCTGCAGGGCAGCCCTGGGAGGAGTAGAGGACCCACCGGGGAGGGCCCAGGGGCAGGGGGCACGAGAGCAGGCTGAGCAGGAGCCGTCCTTGGGTATTTGAAGAACTGTGCAGAACGGAGGTCATGGGGCCTGTACGTAGATGTGGGCAAAAAGGAAATTTCCAATCATTCTCAACAGCACGGGGGACTTGAGGTTCCTCTGCACAGTTTGGGGGCTTGGACCCTCATGAGTGCAGATATATGGACCATAGTTAGGGTATCCTTGTCTGAAGGCCAAAGGTTCCAAGCACCCCCAGGGCTTTTGCTGGGGGCTGGGGGCCTCAGTCACACCCGGGGTAAATGGAAAGCAGCCGCTCTGCGGAAGAAACCTGTTTTGGCCTGTGTGGCCCAGGGAGAGGAGTGGGTTCTCGGTTTGGGGCGAGAAGACTCACGCGTTAGGCGGGGACTGCGTCCACCGGCGTCACGGCATTGTCCGTGTCTCCTCCAGATGCTCCGCGACAAATTCCGAGAATTTTCCCGGGACACGAGTACCATCGGTCAGGAGCGCGTGGACAGCGCCAACGCACTGGCCAACGGGCTCATCGCCGGGGGCCACGCCGCCCGGGCCACCGTGGCCGAGTGGAAAGACAGTCTCAACGAGGCCTGGGCTGACCTGCTCGAGCTGCTGGACACGCGGGGTCAGGTGCTGGCCGCGGCCCACGAGCTGCAGCGCTTCCTGCACGGGGCCCGCCAGGCCCTGGCGCGGGCGCAGCACAAGCAGCAGCAGCTTCCCGATGGGACCGGCCGCGACCTCAACGCGGCCGAGGCCCTGCAGCGCCGGCACTGCGCCTTCGAGCACGACATCCAGGCCCTCAGCGCCCAGGTCCGCCCCCCCGACCCCTGGTGCGGCGAAGTGGGGGCTGGCTCCAGGGAGACTTGGTGGGAAACGGCGGGGCGATGGCGCGGAAAGGCAGGGAGGATGGCATCCTCTGGAGGGACACTTAGGGACGAGGTTAGAAGGATTCCAGGAAAACCTCTCTGGCCAGGGGGTGTCTAGCCACGGCGTCCACAAGCCTTCTGGAGGGCCCGTGACATTTTCAGAGGGTCCCAAAGGCTAGATTCTTCATATTGTACTAAAATCCGCCTGTTGGTCCCACCCAGCTTGGAGCTCCAGGCCTCCACCAGATAAGCATAGGTTCTTCCTCCAACTGTTTAAACCCAGTCAGCCATTACCCACGTCCCTTCTAGCTGAACCCAGTCTAGCGATCTCTGGGGTCCCATGTGTCCTGGACAGGCCTCTAAAAGCTCGACTGGCCAGGGGTCCCGTTAAAGGCTTGCTCCCCCACACTCCCCAGGCCCCCTGTTGAGACCCAGCAGGGCAGGGTATGACAAGGCTTATGCTGGGCACCAGCCTTCATTTGTCCCAGCCCCCCACCCTCTGCTCTCCCTTCTGCCTCTCTGGCTGGTAAAATGGGCAGGAGGTGGAGAACAGAGACCGGGACTGGGGACACCCCAGCTCCTGAGTCCACCCAGCGCTACCTCACTCCGAGCCGGGGTCCCGCAGGTCCAGCAGGTGCAGGATGATGGCCACCGGCTCCAGAAGGCCTATGCCGGAGACAAAGCCGAGGAGATCGGCCGTCACATGCAGGCTGTGGCCGAGGCCTGGACCCAGCTTCAGGGAAGCTCTGCTGCCCGCCGTCAGCTGCTGCTGGACACCACGGATAAGTTCCGCTTCTTCAAGGCTGTCCGGGAGCTGATGCTGTGGATGGATGGGGTGAACCTGCAGATGGACGCCCAGGAGCGGCCCCGGTGAGGCCCCCGGTGCTTTGCGGCCTCCGGGGGATTGGTGGCCAGGAGAGGGTTATGGACACAGCAGTAACATGGTCTCTGTGCCCCCAGGGATGTGTCCTCTGCAGACCTGGTCATCAAGAACCATCAGGGCATCAAGGCAGAGATAGATGCCAGGGCCGACCGCTTCTCCTCATGCATCGACATGGGCCAGGGACTGCTTGCCAGGAGCCACTATGCAGCTGAGGAGGTGGGGGAGGTGTGGGCGCCACCAGGCCATCCTCACGGTGGGGAGGCCTGAATGCTGATTGCTCCTCTGGGTCTCCTTCCTTCCTCTCATTCTTCCTTTGTAGAAATCCCTCTCTCCCCTCAGTGCTGTTCAGGGATTCCGCCATTCCAACTTTCCCCCAGAACCGTCTGCCTCTTGACATCAGAAGTCACCAGTTCCCTGTGTGAGTCCTCCAGGGACCCTGGAAAGGTCCCACTGGGTGCTAACTCATGTCTCTGTGCACCCCCCCCCCCCCCCCCCCGCCCAGATCTCGGAGAAGCTGTCTCAGCTGCAGGCACGGCGCCAGGAGACAGCAGACAAGTGGCAGGAGAAGATGGACTGGCTCCAGCTTGGTGAGCTGCGGTGGGGGCCAGGCCTCGGGAGAAGGGGCTGGGGGTTCCGTAACCTGTCGTTTCCAGAGTAGGTAAGACCAAGAGGCCTGGGCATGGAACTCAAGGTGCCCACCCTTGGCACTGCCTGGCTCTGCTCGGTGCCCCTGCTCTGGGGCACTAGCTTCCTCCGTGTCCCTGTTCTCCAAGGGCTGTGGCTATAGGGCTCTGCTGGTGCTCTGACCTGCCATCTCCCTGTGGCACCCCCCCCAACCCCTGCAGTTTTGGAAGTGCTCGTATTTGGGAGAGACGCGGGTATGGCGGAGGCCTGGCTGTGCAGCCAAGAGCCGTTGGTGCGAAGTGCTGAGCTGGGTTGCACAGTCGACGAAGTTGAGAGCCTCATCAAGCGGCACGAGGCCTTCCAGAAGTCAGCGGTGGCCTGGGAGGAGCGTTTCAGCGCGCTGGAGAAGCTCACCGCGGTGAGGGCTGCGGGACCCCAGGAATGCCCGCCCCCTCCCACTGCCCCAGGCCTGTGATCTCTCCCGCTTGAAGGAAACGCATCTTCTCTTCCTGCTGCACCAGCCTCTCCCCGATGTGAGCCAAGAGTGCCGCTTGTCACCACAGCTTTAGGAGCCATCCGTCCTCCCCCCCTCCACCGGGTGACACTAACAGACACCATCTGCCCCGTTGCTTCTAATCCCCACCTTCTTTTGGAATTCTATTTTCTATCCTTTCTATTTCATCAGGCTAGAGCAGAGGCCTTTCAACTTTCCCCAGTGCCCTGGTCCTCTTAAGTGAGACCTTCTATGCTCTGATCCCAGAATGTTTTGACAGCTGGAGGAGCAGGAGAAGGAGCGGAAAAGAAAGAGGGAGGAGGAGGAACGGAGGAGACAGCCCCCTGCTCCAGAGCCCACAGCCAGTCAGCCTGAAGGGGACCTGGTGGACAGCCAGACGGCTCCTGATGCTGCCTGGGACAGGTGAGAGCTGGGACACCTGGGGAAGGAGGAGGAGGAGGCTAAGTCTCAGCAACGCAAGGGCTTAACGTTCTGTGTCACCTCCTGCTGTTCTAGAACCCACCCCCGGCTACCGGCATCCACACAGCAGGCCAGCGTTAACGGAGTCTGCGCAGATGCAGAGTCCCCACAGGTGACCCCCGCTGCCCTGTGCACCCCCATCAGGATCTTAGTACCCCCACATCTTGCACATCCTCTTACAGCTTCTTGTCCTTGTAGCCCCTGTTGGAACAACAGAGACTTGAGCACGGCAGCTTCGCAGAAGGACCTGTGAGTTTCTCCCAGAAGTGTGGGTGTTAGTAACCGGGAGATGAAGGGGTGCAGACGGGCGTGAGCCGGGGGGTGGTGGTGGTGCTGGGCACAGGAGAGGGTGGGGGCCCAAAGGACACACGGCGGCCAGGAAGACCAGCTCTTGGACTTCAGGCGTCATGACATTCAGGCGAGGTATTTCCCATCTGCTCCTCTGACGCCGACACTGTTTTCCATTTTCCCCACAGGGGTCCGGCACCGGGGATGAGGCCAATGGGCCCCGGGGAGAGAAGCAGGCCCGGACGCGGGGCCCAGCCCCTCCTATGATGCCCCAGAGCAGGTCATCCGAGTCAGCCCGGGTTGCCACTCTGCCCCCTCGAGGCCCCGAGCTCTGTGCCCAGGAACAGATGGAGGGGATGCTGTGTCGCAAACAGGAGATGGAAGCCTTCGGCAAGAAGGCTGCCAACAGGTACTGGGCCTGGCCTTCCCTGCAGCCTCCTCCTCCGTAGACAGCGGGGAGGTGCCCTGTAGGAGGAGGGTCCTCTGGGACAGGGGGAGGACCCAGCAGAAGAGTGGGGCCTCAGGTGAGGGTCGGGGGAGGGGGGAAGACGAGGAGCTCAAAGACGGGAGTGGTCCTGGCAGTCCTCAGACATCCGAGCTAGTCCCAGGGTTCTAGGCCCCCGCAGAGACTGGTCACCCGTGTCACCTGCATCACGGTCCCGCCCAGGTCGTGGCAAAACGTGTACTGCGTCCTGCGGCGTGGGAGTCTCGGCTTTTATAAGGACGCCAAGGCAGCCAGCACGGGAGTGCCATACCACGGAGAAGTGCCTGTCAGCCTGGCCAGGGCCCAGGGCAGCGTCGCCTTTGATTATCGAAAACGCAAACACGTCTTCAAGCTGGGGTAGGAGTGGGAGGTGCCCTGGGGATGGGGGGCGCGGGGAACTGGGGGCGATACAAAGGAAAGGGGAGCCACAGGCTAGAAGCAGAGGGAATAGAGTTATAGGGCTGGGCGTTTGGGGCCAGCCATGTACATGAGGGAAAGGTGGGGGACTCTGGTTGTATTCCACACTAAGGGGAGCAGGGGCCCCAAGATGCAGGCCTGACTGCTGACGATGGCAAGCAAGATAATGATCCCGGATGGGAAATCTGAAGGGAGGGTGCTGGCGCTTCCCGGCCGCTGCGGCCTCCCAGGGCTTGCCCCCGCCTGCCAGCAAGCAGCCAGAGCAGGAGGCATGGCCTGGGGTGCAGATGAGCTCACCATGATCCTCAGCAGCTGAACGGCAAGGGTTTGCTTCCGCACAGTCCTGGGAATCTGAAGAATGTGCAGGACGTGTCTGGTCTGGCGCCAGGGCCTGTAGCCCCGTGTTCCCCAGCCTGGCCTCGGCCTGCTAACCGAGCTCTTGCCCAGCTCTCATGCAGCCATCCCACGTTCTCAGCTCTGCCCTGACGTTTCTCTTTTCTCCCAACAGCTTACAGGATGGAAAAGAGTATTTATTCCAGGCCAAGGATGAGGTGAGCTGGCCCCTTCTCCTCCCACGCCCCCGTCTCTCCGCGCCACTCTCAGAACGTTCCAGTTGCAGCTTCCCCTTTCTTCCCTCTCCTCCCTCTTTCCTCGAGTAAGGGTCTCCTTCGCGATCAGGCCACCTGGATGTCAGTGAAAGCCGCACAAAAACGTCTTCCCCTTCTTGATCGCCCCGTCGCTTCTCTGCCAGCCCTCGGAGGCAGCTTCCGGCTGCCCTGTGGCTGAGCACCCACCCCTCTGTGCCCTGTGCAGGCAGAGATGAGCTCCTGGCTGCGGGTGGTGAGTGCCGCAATTACCACGGCGTCCTCCGCCTCCGGGGAGCCTGAAGAGCCGGCGGTGCCCAGTGCTGCCCGCGGCATGACCCGGGCCATGACCATGCCCCCGGTGTCACCGGCTGGGGCCGAGGGGCCTGTCGTACTTCGCAGCAAGGATGGCCGAGAACGAGAGAGAGAAAAACGCTTCAGCTTCTTCAAGAAGAGCAAGTAGTGGGCGGGGAGGGGGGCCCAAGGCTCCCGGGCCAGCTTCTTCCCTCAATTCAGGAAACTGCCAGGGACCGTCAACAGGGACCACCCTCTTGTCAGGACAACTGCCTGCTGCTAGGGTCTGTTGCCAAGGTCAGCCCATCACCAGGAACTGTCTCGGAGGACAAGTCAGTGTTCCCAAGGGCAACGCTCCTCTTCTGCTGTTTAATTCCAGACTGGTGGTGGGACCCAGGCGACCCCCAATTCCACTCCCACCTCCTGACGTCCTCCATCTCCCCCCGGTCCTACACCCCAACCCCGACCCGGGTGCGGGCAGTGCTGCACCCTCCACAGAGGCCATGTGGGCACGGCTGCCCCTGCCTCAGGTCATTCTCCCACCGCAGCAAGGGCATGCCCCTCAGTTCCTTGCCCCTGGGAACCAGCCAGGAACCTCTCAGAGCTGAAGCAGGACCTGGGGGCAAGATTGCCAGATGACCGAGTCAGAGACGCCGAAGCTCCCCCTTCCCATCCTAAGTTACCCTCTGATTCAAGCCACTCCATCTCCAGCGACACTCAGTGGCTTCCAGGTGTGAGTGGTTCGGGGGCAGCCACAGCCTTGAGTCTGGCCAAGGAGGTGATTAAACAGCTCAGCTTCTCTTTCTGCTTCCGGGTGTCTTTGCTTTCCTGACCACAAGCCTCCCTGCCTCTGGCTCTGGTCTCCTGTATGTCAGGTTTCCTCTCTGCCCCCAGCCTCCCAGCCCTCAAAGAACCACATTATTTTGAGAGCCTCCCTAGCCCGGTTTCATTTCCCCATGATCATAACCTCCAGTTTGCTGGGCTGACCAATGACAAGCCTCTTTTTAGACCCAAGAAGTTCGCCATGGGTCAGGGTGATGGTAACAAGCACTACTAATGTTAAAAGGCAGTGATCAACTCCTTCCCTGGTACACAACTTTCTTTACTCATGACTCTCTCGACTGTTTTCCAAAAATGAAAGACTGAATTGCCCAGGCAAGTCTCAGCCACTGCTCGGCCCGACAGTGGAGAATGGAGCACGTGGGGGTGATTACTGACCCCATCTTCTGTCTCCTCCCCAGTAGAGAGGATCAAGGGAGTTCAGACGGGTCAGATAAGTGGCAAGTTTCCAATCCACTGACCAATAGGATGACATCACTCTGGGAAGCCACAAGTGTGTAAACACACACAAACACAGAATATATTCTAGATCTGGTGAAGTATAAAAAAAAAGAGTAGGTAGCTTTCTCCCTTGTCTCTGGCTTGGCAATTGAAGTTTCAGGGCAACAGTATTGCCTTGGTGGTCTCCTACAGGAAAAGCTTTGTTCTTTCACTGTTTCCCATAAACAAACAACCATTTCTTTTGGGAGCTCAGAGAAGATCTTTCCAGAGAAGCAGCCCTATCTGTAATTTTTTTTTAAATTTTAAATTCCAGTATAGTTAGCATACAGTGTTATGTTAGTTTTGGGCATACAATACAGTGATTCAACACTTCTATGCATCACCCAGAGCTCCTCACGACAGATACACACCTTAATCCCAATTACCTATTTCACCCATCCCCCCACCCCCTCCCCTAAGCAGCCGTGTCTTTAGCATAATTGGCCAAGGGCCCTGGCTGAGTAGACCCCTGACCATCATCAGCCATGACTAAGACAGGGTCAGGTGTGTGCAGGCCCGGGGCTCGCACAACACAGCTCCAGAATGGTCTCCAAACGTGACAGCTGGTAGACCAGACAGCCCACAAAATAATTCTCCCTTTCTCTTAAGAAAAGCAGATTCAGAAGTATTCCACAGTCAACATGTTGGATAAATGTGACTGGAACAATCTGTTGGGGGACTAAATGGAATAATACATCAGCACTACAACCTTCTCTTGTTCCTCAGGTACAACTGTGCAAAGGAAGAAAAAGTCATACATTGTAGAGTGCTCAGGGAAACAGGGTTTTTCCACTGCAACGGGGCAAGCCTGGGAGTTAGGAGGGGAAGCAATAATGGGAAATTTTAGAAGGAAATGTACATGGGAGTGAGAAATTAATGAAGAAATGCTCATTTTAGCATGTAAAATGTGAGTGGAAATTGGGCAGCCAAGTACAGCAGTCTTACAGGACGCAGTCAGTCACTGAATGGAGAAGTCATGAAGATGTGCTTTGAGCATCATCTAGGTGGCAAGACATAGAAGAGGATAAACATAAGGTCAGGAAGTAAGTCTCGAGAGACACCTTCAGATATGAGTGGAAGACAAGGAAAGTTCCAGAAAGAGACCAAATGAAATGGAGCAGTGAGGGCTATGAGAAAGATTAGAGCACAAAAATACAGTACGCGCAGGTCTGAGAAATATGGACAGCTAAACGTGGATTATTTGGAGAAAAATGGATTTGCCTTCTCACCAAACACGGCCTCCGAGGGTGAACTCTAGATCTGCACTGTCCAAGACAGTAGCCATGAGCCACATGTGGCTACTGAGCACCTGAAATGTGGCTAATCCAAAGTGAAATGTGCTTACAAGTGTAAAATGCTCACCAACTTCAAAAACTGAAGAGGAAAAGAAGAATTTAAAATATTTCATTAAATACTTTTTATACTGATTATATGTTGAAATATTTTAGCTTTATTGGGTTTCAAAAGTATTAAAATGAACTTCAGCTGTTTCATTTTACTTTTTAAATGTCTTTACTGGAAAATTTTAAATTACATAGACGGCTGACCATATATTTCTGTTTGGACAGCCCTGCTTTTGTTTGTCTTTTTAACATTTTATTTTTAAGTCAGCTCTACACCCAACGTGGGGCTCGAACTCATGACCCTGAGATCAAGAGTCACACATTCCACCTACTGAGCCAGCCAGGTGCCCCAGGATGGTACCGCTTTAAATTGACTACAGACCTAAATGTAAATAGTAAAAAACATGACTGTTAATAGAGGAAAATGTAGGAGAATATATTTGTGACTCAGGGGGGTAGAAAAGGACAGCTTATACAAAACTGCAAAAGCACAAACTTTAAGACAAAAATAAATTAGATTCTATAAAAAATTAAGAATTTCTGTTCAATGAAGGGCACCATGGACAAAGTTAATAATTAGTGGAATGACGGAAAATATTTAGAGATCAATGTCTAGAATAAACAAGAAAATCCTGCAAATCAACAACAAAGAGGAGATTGCAACCACTAAGAAAATTAGGCAAAACATATGAACAGGAAATTTACAGAAGAGCAAACTCAAAAAACCCTAAAATCATCAGTAATCAGAGAAATGCAAATTAAAACAACAGTGCTATATCACTTTATACCTATTAGACTAGCAGAAATTAGAAAACTGGACAATGTCCAACATTGGCAGAGTCATTGATATACAGGGTCCCTCACGTGCTGCAGGTGACAGGGTAGACTGGTACAGTTTCTCCAGAGAACAACCTGGCACTACTTAGACAAGTTAGTTCCATGTATACCCAGTGAGCCAGCAACCTAGCAATTCCACCCTGGGTTTATATCCCCTCAAATTCTCACAGGGATCCAGTAGGGCACACATAATTACTGTAATGATGCTAATAATTGTAACCTTGTTTATAATAGTGGGGCATTGGAGGCAACATGAGTGTCCTACACATAGAGACGGATAGGTAAAACACAGTGGTTGCACATTAGGGAGTATTACCCAGTGGTTAGATAGCACACAGCAACACAGTGAAAAAACTAAAACAATGAGCCATGCAACACAATTTACATGAACATCTACATAATTTACCCAAATGCACAATCGATGGACCTTGTTTAGATCCACATTAGAAGAAACCAATTGCAAAAAGACATTTGCAACAATCTAGGGGAAATTTTAATATAAAGATTAGATGATATTAGCATAATCCTGATGTTCTAATTAGAGGTAGATAGTAAAGTCCTTATAGGCGAAATAACATCATGTCTGGGATTTGCTTTTTTTTTCCTTTTTATTAACATATAATGTATTCTTTGTTTCAGGGGTACAGGTCTGTGATTCATCAGCCTTACACAATTCACAGTGCTCACCATAGCACATACCCTCCCCAATGTCCATCACCCAGCCACCCCATCCCTCCCACCCCCCTCCACTCCAGCAAACCTCAGTTTGTTTCCTGAGATTAGGAGTCTCTTATGGTTTGTCTCCCTCTCTGGTTTCATCTTGTTTCATTTTTCCCTCCCTTCCCCTATGATCCTCTGCCTTGTTTCTCAAATTCCTCATATCAGTGAGATCATATGATAATTCTTTCTCTGATTGACTTATTTTGCTTAGCATAATAGCCTCTAGTTCCATCCACGTCATTGCAAATGGCAAGATTTTTTTTTTTTAAAGATTTTTATTTATTTATTTGAGAGAGAGAGAATGACAGACAGAGAGCATGAGAGGGAGGAGGGTCAGAGGGAGAAGCAGACTCCCTGCCAAGCAGGGAGCCCGATGCAGGACTCGATGCGGGACTCGATCCAGGGACTCCAGGATCATGACCTGAGCCGAAGGCAGTCGCTTAACCAACTGAGCCACCCAGGCGCCCCAAGATTTTTTTTTTTTGATGGCTGCATAATATTCCTGTGTGTGTGTGTGTGTACCACATCTTCTTTATCCATTTATCTGTTGATGGACATCTAGGCTCTTTCCATAGTTTGGCTATTGTGGACATTGTTGCTATAAACATTGGGGTGCACGTGCCCCTTCGGATCACTACATTTGTATTTTTGGGGTAAATACCCAGGGGTGCAATTGCTCGGTCTTAGGGTAGCTCTATTTTCAACTTTTTGAGAAACCTCCATACTGTTTTCCAGAGTGGCTGCACCAGCATGTTTTCCCACCAAGAGTGTAGGAGGGTTCCCCTTTCTCTGCATGGGATTTGCTTTTAAAAACTCCAGTCCAAAAAAAAAAGTACAGGGATGCCTGGGTGGCTCAGTTGGTTAAGCATCTGCCTTTGGCTCAGGTCATGATCTCAGGGTCCTGGGATGGAGTCCCGCTTCGGGCTCCTTGCTCAGTAGGGAGTCTGCTTCTCCCTCTGCCTGCTGCTCCCCCTGTTTGTGTTCTCTCTCTCTCTCTGACAAATAAATAAATTTTAAAAAAAAGTACAGGGGATAGATAAAGTCAGCAGAATGTTGATAACTGTCAAAGCTGGGTCAAGAAACGGTCCAAAAGAGTTCATCATAATATCCTCTATTTGTGCCTTTTTGAAAATGTCCACAATAAAACATTTTTTAAAATGGATAAAGCAAATGCTCACTGAAAAGACATGTCTGGCAAGAACACAAACAAAATAATACACATTAAACTCATTAGAATGGTTGCCTACAAGGGAAGGGGAAGTGAGATAAAAGGGAATAAAGAGTAGGGAAATAGAAGGAGAGAAGGAGATGGAACGGTGCAGTCATGAGAAGGAACAGTATAAAAACAGGGGAGAAAAGGATGGTGAATGAAATGAAAACCTTAGAGGGGTGAAAACTTAAAAGAAAACTAGTTTGGGTGACCTCAGAAAATATGGCGTATTGGGAGAGGTGGACAGAACCCAAAACACAGTGTACGAAGGTGGGCAATAGCAGGTTCAGACTCTCCATTTGTAAAGCAGTCTGGCCTGGAACACAGGGAAGGGACCCAAGATAGAAAACATTAATAGTGAAGATGAGTGG